TTTTATGATGTACCGCAGGAAAGGCTACAAGCGCGACCTCCTTGCTCTGGGGCACACCTCGGCGGCACAAGCTCTCGTGCCTTAACAGCTGCCAACGCTATGAGCTCGCGCTTCTAGCCTTCGCTGCGGTACAACATAGAGTGAAGCCTAGTTCACATGCAGCGGTTTTGGCCCTAGAGCGGCGCGATTTCTGCCGTCGCGGCGCTCTGGCCAGCACCAGCAATTCTGCGGCACGAGCGCCGCGACGGCAGAAATCGCGCCGCTTTAGGGCCAAAATCGCTGCATGTGAAACACGCTTGAAACGGAGTATAGCTAATTACACAACTCGTCAGACAGAGTATTCGCTTAATTGGGGAGGGGATGGAACACTCACACGTCTATAGCGGTGCGCTTTAGCTTTGAGGGGGGAGGGGGGGGGGGGTGCCACAAACCGAATTGTTTTGTTAGTTTTCGATCAGAGATATCGAAGATGACGATTCGAAGGCCGCTCCTCGTGCGACCAAAGCACTCGCCAAAGCAAAGCGCTCGCGCCCAGACCGTGCTAAGCGAGTTTAAATTTTTGTTTTGTTTTGGCCGGGACGCGTTCGGACCCAAGAAGCTCTAACTTGTGTCCGCCATTGTGCAGGGATCGCACAGCTTCCAACAGAGGACATGCTTTTTCGACGTGGTCTCTGGGCTTAAAGCTGTGATTGCTGAATTCATCGCTGCCGAGCGCGTGCTGACGTCGCATCCGCCACGTGCACGATAGATACACGACGAACCCATTCTGAGCATGCGCTTTAGGCATCGTGCTATGATATGGCATCCAGTGAACACTACACTCCGTTGCTGAGACTGGAGTCAAAGCTACAAGCGCGAGCTAGCCCGCGCTTTCAGAACTGCATTTGTAGCGCGAGTGCTCGATCTGCCGGAGAACGGTCCAAAGCAGTCACCCCGTGACTGTCGTGTTTCTGACACTGGCTGCAGTCTCAGCTTAAAATGGAGTGTAGAAAATTTTAGTATATCGTACCGATAACGACGATGCATGCGCCAGGCGTCGGCAGAGTATGGGGTATCGTTATCGGTGTCGTTGAAACGATCTACTAAAAGTCCCTACTACCAGCGACTTTAGTGAACACCACCTATGGTAGGACGATGCCACAAAGTGTGCGCGAAGTCGAAGCTAAGGCTACGCGGCGAGAAATGGAAGGAGAGGAGACAAGATGGCGCGGGACATCAGAATGCCGAGCTCTGGTCGGAATGATTAGTGGGTACATGCAAAGCTAGCTGCCTTTGTCTCCAAACTCACTGCTTTGAACGCGTTCGAATGTCGAACACTGGCGTCCTGAGTTCGGCGTTCGCGTTCGAAGAGTGAGTAAAAACAGAAGTGACCATTGAAAGCGTGCGACAAGACAGTGGCACCACGGGACGGCTCCTGGCAGAGGCATTTCTCATCAACCACGGCCGGAGTGGCATAGACATCCTGTGTTGCAGCCATTTTTTCTAATCAATGTCGGCTCACTTGACCACGGCACTCACAACACGTTCGGGGCTGTATAGTTAGTGCTAGCTTTTTTTTTTTTTTTTTTTTTTTACACGAAACCTGGAAATTGAGAGCCCAAACCCCTCCATGCGCTGGCAAAAACAGTCGCGATCGCCTCGATCCCAGTACGTCTACTCGATCCGCCAATGAGCGAAGAGTAGATCTGAGAACAAAAGGAAGGAAAAATTCTTAGCACGTAGATTTTATCAATTACTGGCACTGATAAATGTCGTCCCATAATGATTTCCGGACCGTCGATCACACAGACGCTTCGCACAAACATCTTCGAGCGCGAATACACGAAAACAAAAATGGCGGAGTACTGCCATCGTTGTCGCTTACAACTGCGGGACAAGCCATTGAACCGGAGCTCCGAATAGCTCCTGCGGATCGAACAGGTACAGAGCAACTATGGACGTGGGTAGGTTTCGAACGTCGAGGTGCCAAACCTTTTATTCCGGAGCGAGATCCAGTAACACGGCCGCGAGAGGACCCTGACGCGGACAAGACGCTGCGGTTGCATTGAAATTATGGTGCCTGGAGCGCGTCTTCGACTGGTGTGTTTAGCGTCCTGTCCCGCCCATACATCAAAAGTGGTCCCGATGTGGCAACAGATGACGCGAGTGTCATGCTGTTGCCTGTCGCGATCCTGGCGGTTGGCCGTAGAAATGCTGGCGAAAAGCACGAGCGAACGAGAGTGTCGCTGTCGCCACGGCGTCCCGTTAGGCGTCCCAACTTCCGGCTGCACTAGTTTCCGTGAACTGTCGCAGTGGAAAGCGACCTGCAGCAGAACAGGCATCTGCTACATACACCATAACTCTTGGGACGCCACCAGGGTCGTGACCGGCGACAGCATGACACTTCTATGACGTCATCAAGCGGAAATCGAGGGACCACTTTTTTGGCCGCGGTAAACACACCAGTCAAAGACGCGATCCAGGCACCATAATTGAAATGTGCATTCTCATTATTGCTTCGCAGTCATTGAGAGATTGGATCATTAGCCCACGAGAATAAAGAAGAACGAATCACTAGGCAAGACGTGTGAAGTGCCACGCCATCTTTTTCTTAAGTTGTTATATAACAGCTGAGGAAACGCCTGACTTATGATGTTTCCGTTTTTTGCTGCAAGATTCGTTCTCTGGGGTTCTTGTCGGCGTTCTCGGCGATAGTATAATGTGTAAGATTGGACACGCCCTTTGTTATGTAAGCTGTCAGTGTTTGCACAAAAGCCTCGTGCGTATTTTTTTTAAAATTATTATTGTTTTGCCAATTGCGCACGCGCCCTTATGCGCTGTTCAAACACTGTTCAAGTCAGCACACGCGCTTGTAGCTTCAATTCGTCGGCAACTCCATCTTGTCACGCTATTCGAGTTGAAAAAAAAAAAAAAAAGCAGTTTCCATATCACTTATTTGGCGGTTCGAAAAGTTTTTTTTTTTTTTTTTTTTTATCTTCGACGGGGCGGAGTCTATCGGCCGTTCGTGATTTATGTGTAAATTTTCTACGGGACGATTCCGCGGTATTTTCGGGGTCGTTCTTGACCAGCCGACACACGGCTTTTCTTCTTTTTTTTTTTTTTATTTAAAGGGCAGAGGGGAACAGAAAAAGATTCAGCTGCCTCTGATGCCCACATTTTGTTTGTTTCTGACTTATACTTCTTTTTTTTTTTTTTTTTGGTTCAGGGGCAGGGGCGCGTCGCGCGCATGAGTGGTGGCCTTTTTTGCAAGCGCGGCGGCGTCTGGCCCTGAATAATTAACGAGACATTTAAACCTGCGGTTAAGCCCCGATCATTATAAAGGTGACCACAGTTGGGACCAAGAATTTTTTTTCTTCGCGATTTTTTAATTGTCCGCGCACTCGTGTTTTTCCCCAAAATGTTTTTTTACGCTCTCTCTCAATCTTTCGTTCTCTGTGTTTTAACTTATTTTTTCACGTGTACCTGGAAACTGTCTTTCAAGATGTTCAGCCGTTTGCTGAGTACTTAACTGATAGTTTACCGGAGTTTGTGTTTTTCTCCAGCCGTACTAAAATGTGTGTCTTGCATATCTGAACGTTAAAAGAAGGTCTCTTGAATCACAAGAAGGTTAACTAGAGTCTGCAGAGACACGTCAGTCAACAGTTAGCATCAAGAACGCCGTACAGTGTGTGCAAATTGATTAAGCCAGCCAAGCACCTCAGCAATGTTAATTTGTAGCGATCGTAGCGAAAAACAACATATGGGCGCATTTAATAGAAAAAAAAAAAAAAGGTCCGCAAATACGAGACGAACTGACACACCGTATAACTTGCGAAACCTCTTGAACTTTTGCTACTAGAAAAAAAAAAAAAATTAAAAAAATCTGGTCCCGAGACCACAGAGCAATTTTATTGTTCTCTGGTTTCGAGACATTTTAGTGTTCTGCGAACCAGAGAACCATAAAATGGTCTCAGGTCTCGAGATTTTTCAGAAGTCCCGTACCGTGCTCATCGAAAGCAAGGAAGATAACGATACCCGTTATTCTATTAGCTAACCATCACTTCGGGATATCGGTTTCATTCGCCTGTAAATTTTGTTAGTACGTTTTGTTTTAAAGCGATAGCTTTAAGCAGGTCGTCTCGCAGAAAAGCCAGAAAATACTAATTGCTTGATAAGTAATTCATTTGCCTCATAGAAGAAGTTCGAAGAATTTTAGGCGGAGCGGGATCAAACCCATGACGCTTCGGTTGCAAGCCAGACCCACTGCCGGCATAACCAGTCAGACATTTTTTTCTTTTTTTTTTTTACAACCACACAGACACACTTGTGCGGCTTAGCAACGAGCGGGATTGATATATAACTATCGCGTTCCAGTCTTAAAGGCGAAGATTAAGCGTTCGCCTGTAATTTTTTTTTAAGTGCCAGTGGCGACCTTCTAGGTAGCAAGACCATGTATATAATAGGGCTGAGGAACTGATCGATTACCCTTCTGATTAATCGATTAGTGCTTTAGTCGCGATTACTATTTTTATCCAGTGAATCGGTTCGGTTCAAACGGGGAGTTTGAAAAATTGTGGAGAAAGAAAAATGCCTTCCAATGTGAAGCACTGTAACATTTGGTTTGACTATCACCACGAGTGCAAAAATTTCCTTTTTAAACTTGTTTGCCCGTGTTCTTTTTTTGTGGGTGGCAAATGTCAAGTTTCAAAGGAGACTGCGCCATTGATGACAGCAAAATATAGCGAAAAGAAAAATGTGTAGCTTCGTCTCTTTTTAGATCTTATGTCTGAAGGTCAACAGAACCGATTAATTGCTAATCGACACCGAGCGCCATTACATAACTTGTTGTTCTTAACGTTTGTAATCATAACAAAACACAGTATTCTTTTTTTTTTGCAAATGTAAGGTTATTTTTTAACGAACCGTGAGCGATGCTTTTGATTGACTTCGGAAAGTAGGTAAATTCTGACCGCATGCATCATGCGATTTCGCTGACTCTTATTTCTGTTTCTGGAACCCAGATGACTTCTAGAGGAAGGGTGATGGTCCTGTGCCTCCTACTGACCTCCCAGACGTCTGTCCAAGGTGGCTTTGACAGCAGTGATTCTCAGTGCGATCCACCGGGCCAGTGGAAGGCTGGTCAAGCTTTGGACGAGGACGCGTCCGTGCATGCCGGTGCAACCATCCGCCTCCTGATGCCCGTCAAGACTGGCAAGATGCAAGAATGCGTGTCGCAGTGTTGTCAGCATGGTGTGTTCTTTTTCTTATGCTCTTTAACAGGAAGCACAAGCCTCGTGCTTTTGAAATGGTATTTGGTAGGATAACATTATGTTCAGAACTATAGGAGAGTTGGTAATGGACTTATTAGATTGAAGTTTCAGCATCGAAAAAGCCAGAGACTGAGAAACACAGGAAAGCACAGCAGGTTCTCTGTTTTTCGGTTTCCAAATGCTGTAGGTTCTCTGTTTAGTGTTAAAAGGGGCTTTTAGTGGATTGTTCCGTTACCTCCAATAACAATACCGAAAACGATGCTTGCTTAAAGGCGACAGCCGAGAATTGGGTATTTTCGTTTAGTTATCTGAACGTTCTGCTAAAGCTCACTACTGACGCAGTTAAACTTAACACAGAAGTGTTAAACACTTCTGTGTTAAGTGTTACTTTGATTAAAGTGTGTTTGCTTGGACTAAATTTCTGTTGTCCTTGCAGATAAATGCAGAGTGGCCGCCATCGAAGTACAGGACCGAGGGAAAATCATGTGCACATTATACGACTGCAGCCCTCCTGAAAAATGTGTCTTTAAGAAGTCGGAGAAACTGCTCAGCTACGACCGTACTGAGACATGGTTTCTCACAAAAGATGTCACGAAGCCACCATCTTTCACGAGCACGAAAACCCACACTGAAACGCGTGCTACTACATCAGCAACCACAGCAGCTTTTGAAACGTCATCCACGGTGGAAACCACGGTGCCCTATGCAGCTGATACTACAAGCAATTTTGCGGCAAACGCAACGACAGCAGCTACGAGCAATACATACGCAAACTCGACAATAGTTGAAGCAACAAATGGCACGTTGAATGTAAAGGTGAATACGACACTAGCTAATTCAACCACATCTACGACGGTCGACCTGGTTAGCAACTACATGGACACGTCTACAACTAGGTCTTCGGTCGCGAAGCACAGGATACTGCTCACCGAAAGTTTCCCCAAACACAATTGGTCGAGCACGGTAGGAGTAACTTATCTTGACGTCTCAACTCCCACTGCGGCAACCAAAATAGTTCCATTGGAAAAAAATGAGTCACATTTCAACACGGTCTCCACGACAGTGGAGTTCTCCTCTCCAAGCCCTCGGACCCCCATCGTCCAACTGAGCCTAACGACCGAAACAAGCCCTTCGAGAAGAACTAGTACCTCCAGCACAGCGTCTCCTGCCCTGCAAGCCTCAATGCAAGGTATATTTACCCCTCGCAACTTTGATGATAACTCATGGTTGCCATTTCTGTCTTCTACGTCGCGACCCACAACCAAGCTTGCAGAAGTGACACCCAAGTCAGTGAACCGTTCTCAGAACGTCATTGATGAGAAAGGGAAGGTGACTGACTTGAGAGGCCCCATCCAGATCTTCGCTCCAACGACGTTAAATGTCGTTGCTAAGGCATCACCGTCGATCAGCCTTGTGATAGGCCTGTGCCTAGGACTGCTTCTAATCTTCGTCGTCATGGGACTCATCGGGCGGAGGGTTTTGGACGTCTGGCAGAGGCGGCACTACTCCAGGATGGACTTCCTAGTGGACGGCATGTACCACGTGACGTGAAAATTGTGCCATGCCTAACTTTGGTAAGATTTATGTGATTGGCCACACTGGACATTTTGGATGGACCCGCAGTATAACTACGCGTGATATGCAATTCAGTCCATAGAACTCATGATCTACAATGTAATGTGTGCCTGACATTTTGTTTTTAAGAAAGGGATTGCATCTGCTTTGCCGACCAATTTAAAATTAGTGACTGACCAGGGTGCTTCTCTTGCTGGAAACAACTGATGTGTAGCATTAGAGACGTTCTGGAAGCTTTCCTTTTCGACACCTTATTAGGAATGCGAATCCTATTTTTTACATCTTATTGGGTACAATTTTTACGTTGAAAAAACGAAAACTTTTTATATGGCATCTTGACAAGGTAAGATATGTGCAATCAAGTACAAAGGCAGTCTTGTCTTAGACAAAGGTTATGTGATGTAACCGCAGCTGTTGCGGTTGAAGCTAGTTACCAGTGGTTTGTTTGTTTTTTGCTCGCTGTCACAGACAATAGCAGATTTCATCAGTAATAGGGGGCGTGTTCGTATCGCGTATCTATGAACGTGAGGGCATCAATATACAATGCAGGAAATAATAACATCACGTGAGCGTTCTTGGCTTCCATGTGTGCTTCCATGCAGAACAATTCCGTTACGATTAATGACGATACAGTGAAATATTATGAGCCCTGCATTACAGGGATTAGATGTATTATAACAACGTGTACAAGCCTCGGTTATATAAAATGCTTAGTGGTATATCCTTTATATGCCTAAGGGACATCATTACCAATAATTTGTGAGAACTGACAGTTCTGCTTTATAATCTCCAACAGGCCTAGGGTACGTTCAACACGTTACTTAGGCGAGACTTCCCCTGGAGAGTCGTAATACTACAGTACAGTAGCGTTAAGAGTGGATGAGCTGTAGATGGTCGATGTTTGAAATGTCTCTTAGAGCAATATGAAGTATATTTTGGAGCATTGTGCGAACTAGTAAAAATGCGGCCTCCATTCAGGTTAACCCTATTTTGGATTCTAATTATACAGCTATTCTCGTAAACATGTTTACTTTTGTAGGTTTATACCGGTCGTAAACTTGTGGAGTCACATGCGGTAGTGGTACAGGTCCTATGCATTTTTTGCCCAGACGTGAAAATAACATTATTGCCGCCTTGTTCATGCTCGTATCATGTTTAATTGTTTTATTTCTGAAAAGAAATATGATAGAAATATGGATCGACCTGCATACAAGAAATCAATGACCAACTTCCGTGGAAGCTGCACTGTTCTCATTTGTGCCACTATTATAGCAAACCTCTCAGTTAGTATTATTGTGCACTTGCTTGAAGGCCACACAAACTAGAAGTTTTACTTAAAACTGTAATTACATTCGTAAAGTCATACTGCAGCTGAACTTCCAATACTCGTTTTGTTCGTTGTTTGCGGTGATTTTGTACCATATATACACGAGAAATTTTAATAAAACAGAGTATTCTGTCTTTACGTTGCCTGTCCTGTATGACGCTCAATCGCAGTAAACTTGCAGAAAACTATTTTATTCAACGCGACGCACTCAGATCAAACCTAGTATTAGAACGCAGCAATGAATGCGACAGGGACAGGAAACGAAAACGTTACTTTCACCAGCAGTTCAGATCCAATAAGAGCAGGACTTCAGGGAAACCATTTCATCGCTTTTCTTACACCCAAACGTCCGCACGAACCTCTTGTTGTTCCCGAGGTGCGCGTTCACGAGGATCCTCGACGGTATGCCGATCCTGTGCTTGACCTTGACTTTTTCTAAACCAGATATCTCGCAGTAGCCCATTGCGTACACGATGAAGTAAAGCATGTCGGCCGTGAATTCGGGATCCATCCGCAGCCCATCGGGGTAATAATGGGCCATTCTGTTCTTGAAGACTCGGTACAGAGGTTCCAGGATGGCGCCCTGAGCCACGAACTCGTCGACAAAGACCTCCTGGTGCGTGCTGATGAGGAGCTCCTTGAGGGCAAGGGAGTAAAGGTTTCGGAAGCAAGCAGCCTTTGTGGTGTACTTGAGATCATCAGCTGGGGTCCACCAGTGGGTTGTTATGCCTGATCTGTCGCTGAAGATCTGCGCACCCCTTGCGTCCACGACTGCCATGATGGCTTTGAGGATGGGAGCCCCGATGAGTGGCAGGTATAACGGATCCGAAATTTCGGTGAGATTGTTGACTAGCCCGAGAAATCCGGACGGCAGATAAAGGGTGTGTGTTTCAGCAATGTACGTTGGAGAGGTTGAAAAAATAGAACCTGGAAAGAAACTGTCCTTCGAGATGTCCCTTGTCGTGCTGCCTTCCAATATACTGAAGATCTGTCGTGCGTCTTTGATGGGTTTCTCTGCTCTGGCGTAGACAATCTCGTCGTGGGGAGTTGCACCCAGAAGATTTATTTTGAGGGTCTGAAGTCGGCGTAGGGCCCGTTTTCGAGATTGCTTGTCAGAGAACCAAACTTTGACATACTTAGTCAAGGATTCCTTCAGGTCCCTGATTAGGCCAACCATGGCAGCCGCCTTTGGTCGTTCAGGAGACCAGTCTTTGAGGCTGAGCGCCATTAATGCCAGTACTCTCATGCCGCGCTGGTACGCTTTTTCAGTTAGGCGAAGGCATCCTTGAACCTGAAGGGGAACGCCCTTTACAGTTTCTTCCATGCCCAGCGGAATCAGAGATGACATATTTTGAATCAGTGGCGATATCTGAAGTAACGCAGAGAAGATGATGAAGTTTGCCGCGTCGAGAGCCGATGACGTGTTTCTGAGCACTTCCATCAAGTTTGAAGTGTACTTGAAGTCGAGGGTGCGTACTTGCGTTCGGCCGTAGGTCAAAACATGTAGCAGAAAGTCCCAAGATTTATCTCCAGTTGCCATGTGAGTGACACGAAAAACGCGGTCGGCTAAGCTGACGAACTCTCTTGAGGTGATTTTGCGCAGCGCCATCTCCAATTTCGCGATTCCCTGCGCTGTTTCTCTGCTACCGTGGTCAGGAAGGACGGAACGAATCAGGGCTAAGTAGTCTTGTTCTTGCGCATCGGGATAAAGCAGTTGAAACTTCGCGTGCGGTAGAATAGGCGACGTAACGAAACGCGTAAAATGGTTAAGGCTGCCACCGACGCCTTCCAGGTAACTCACTAAAAGCGGATCAACTCTGAAGAACCTTTTGCAATAGGCGCTCAGTCTACCAAGAGTGCTGGCCGACTTAATCTCATTAAGAGGCCACATTGGAAATTGGGGCTTGAGACTACGCAACGTGCGAGCTCTCTTCGTGTTTAGACATTCCTTGTAAAACGTTGCTGCGTTACGCTGCCAAGGACTCGCAGATGTCTTCTCTCGAATGTAGGCATCGAGCGCGCGCATCAACCTGGCCACCTTCTGGCTCCCAAAGTCCATGCTGTCAACGTTTGCCTCACTTGGACCGAACCACTTGGCAGAGCAGACGTGAGAGTAAAAGTCGTGGCATGGCTTGATCGTCCAATCTAGCTTAGAGTTGAGGAACTTTGATAGCCACTTGCATTGGGGCCTGGTACACTGCTTACTGGCCGAGCCGCCTGCATTGTCTGCATTCACTCTCCTCCAGGACTGATGCAGGTTGACATCTGGTTCGTCTTGATTGATTATGGTCTCGGGAAAGGCCTCGGTAGCATCATCACTGGCGACAACGGGAGCGTCCTGATTGTTGATGGTCTCATAGATGGCTTTTTTGCTATCATCCCTGGTGACAACGGGAAGGTTCCTGGTCCTTTCGGTCTTGAGGTTGTCCTCCTCGACGAGTGATAATGGCAGTGTATCGGTGCTCAAATTAGGAGTATAGATGGGGTCAAAGGAGGTGAAGAATAGTGCACTGCTGATGACAAGCAGACTAATGATGACCATAAGTATGCCGAAGGAACGTAGGTTGAGCACTACGGTATGTTTGTCGTCATCTTGGCTGGCCTGTTCACCAGTGGGAAAGGGCGGGAATGTGCTTCTTGATGCGGCATGTTTCTCGACGACCATCTTCAGAATTCTGACAGCGACTCGTTCCTTAACCTCTGCTTCTTCCTTTTGGTGGGCTCTGTTTCGCAGGCTAGCCACTTGGCTTTGGAAAAAGCAAATATGTGTTCGGTGCCTGTGTTGTGCTAAACCGTACCAATATCAGAAAAAATCAACTGCGCACACAGTTTCCCGTAGCCATTATAACTGCAGTCAACAGACAAGAAGTCCAGTTGAATACGGCAATAACTGTATTGAATAAAGTAGTAGTAGAAAAGGTGGAAGTCAGAAAGAAAAGAAACCAGAACCGAATTCTTAAACGGTACTCCGACTCGAACCTTCACTCAAACTCCACTTGAGGCAAGTTTTGCGCTTCGTAGTTGGAACTCGGCTTGAAACTCTCCTCGACTGAGGAAATACTTCAGAATTGACTAAAAAATTTCAAGGTAGCTTAGGAGCCACCTTTTGATCTTCCTCAAGACTCCAGTTGGATTTTTGGTGTCATGGCGGCCAACGCATCGTTCACTGAGTTTGTGGATTTTGTCTTCGTAAGCCATGAACTCCTGCACCACAGCGAACATGAGAGCCTTCCAGTGTCACGGCGTCGTTTCAGGAAACTGCTGAACGCGACAGGCGTGTTCAACGACTGCGAATGTCTTGCGCGCTACTGCTTTACGAGAGCGACGGTGACCAGGGCGGCTATGTTGCGCTTTTTGCACTCCCAGGAGACTAGGGAGAAAGAAGTGACGTTAACAACGCAGCAAATACAGATTGGATGTTGATTTTGTTTTCTTCTGTCAACATCCAATCTGCGTTTGCTCTAGTCGTTGACGTCACTTCCTTCTTCCAAGTCTCCTGGGAGTGCAAAAAGCGCAACATAGCACCCCAGCATCCAGAAGTCCCTGTCGCTGGAGGAGTACGACAACCGTCGTGGTGTGCCGGTCCCTCCAACGCTTCAGCTGTTGATTGAGATTCAGTTCTATGGTGCTGGGACATTCAGATGCACGATAACCTAATATAATTAATTGTTCGGCTAGTTGGCCACGCGTAATAAACATCGAAAAATGCGAAGGACAGGGACAAGACGTAAAACGACACAGCAGTAGTAGTTTATTATAAGGCGAAAAGGGGGTTAGAAGGAGACAGGACAAGCGCTTACTATACTGACATATTCATGCATTAGTAGTGTCAAACAAGGAGGAAGTGAGATATGTGTTAGTTAACAAGACACGAAGAGGTAATAATAATTTAAAACAAAATGTGAAATAGGAAGCTTTTTGGAAATCACATATATAGAACCCAAATCTTTCAATAAACATTGAAAAACTTCAGAAATTTTTTTTTATAAAAAAAAAATTGAGGTAGTTCATCTCTTTGTCAGGCAGCCTTATAGATGGTGAACTAATGCACGTATCCCATTTAGCTTCGAAGGTGTGGGTTCATAAATATTTCTGCTGTTTCTGTTGTGATTCCGCTTGAGGGCTTTAGTTTCGCTGAACACTAGAGAGAATTTGCAGTCTCTCACGTGTATAGCTAGGTGTCCAGCCGGTGTCGATTTAAGTGAAAGAGCATGCTCTCGCAGTTTGATGTTAACGCAGTCGCCAGTTTGGCCGACGTAAACTCTCCCACATGTGAACGGTTTCTTCTAATTGACACTAATGCTGCATTTGACAGATTTGTTGCAATGTTGTACTGTGCATTGGTCACTTGATTCCTTCTGTGACTTCCTATTAGGGCAAAGCCTTTTAAGCTTGTCTGACGCGGAGAGTACTACTTGCATGTCAAACTTGTTCGCTGCCCTTTTCAAGTGGATAGATATTTTGGGGATGTATGGTAGAACAGCTGGCCGGCAATTCTTGCCAACTCTTCTTTCTCGTCTTCCGTTAGTTGTCATCAATGTATCTACGACTTCGCGCAGGATAGAAATTGTGTATCCAGACTCCTTAAGCCGTTCCACTTGCGCTTCAAAGCTTCTCCCTAGCTGCTATGTGGTCACAGGATTTCAAGATGGCTGCGCTGCAGAATTCGGGGATTCAGGGTTCAATCCTCACCCCTGCCCATTTCGATCTGGATGAGCATCGTACTGGCCTGCGGTGGTGTATTACTACTGCTTGGTGCACGTCAAAGATCCCAGGTTAGCGGTTGTACTGCAATGGCTAAATTGCGGATCTACAGCTGAGACACAAAACACCCAATTAGGCAGACTAACTTCCGGCTTTATAAACATACACACAACAATTTGCTGTTTGTTTTTTTCTACGTCCTTTCCTGGACCTCTGAGTGTTTCGATATTTAATACGATAACCTGCCACGTGGTCAATGAGTCACAACCTACAGCTTGCCGGTTCGTATTGGCTATTGCCAGCACTGGCCAGCACTTTGTGCTTCCGTCTTGTCAATTTGACGTTGAGCGTGGCAGACTTGGACGTTGTGGTGTTATGATTTTATGAGCAGTAAAATGTATTATTTGACACTCTATGAGCGAAACGTACCAAAA